GTCCTGTGGCCTTCAACTCCCAGAATTCCTCAGCCTTAAGGCCTGTGGCCTTCAACTCCCAGAATTCCTCAGCCTTAAGTCCTGTGGCCTTCAACTCCCAGAATTTCCCAGAATTCCTCAGCCTTAAGTCCTGTGGCCTTCAACTCCCAGAATTCCTCAGCCTTAGGTCCTGTGGCCTTCAACTCCCAGAATTCCTCAGCCTTAAGTCCTGTGGCCTTCAACTCCCAGAATTCCTCAGCCTTAGGTCCTGTGGCCTTCAACTCCCAGAATTCCTCAGCCTTAGGTCCTGTGGCCTTCAACTCCCAGAATTCCTCAGCCTTAAGTCCTGTGGCCTTCAACTCCCAGAATTCCTCAGCCAGCCAGGGGTTCGCCCCAAACCTCCCACTGCCCCCCCCACCACTACAATAACCATGTGCTCGCCCCCCCGGGAGAGGACTGAGGCAGGAAGACCCAGGGAGGCCCTTACCTCGCTTTTGCAAATTACAAATAGATTCCATTTCTGCAAGAAAGAGAGAAAAATGGTGGTTAATGCTTCAGAACGGGCAGGCAGTCCTCACTCCAGCACGGGAACCGGGAGGGGAATTTCCGTCACTAAGGAAGGCAGTCATACCAGGGGATGTCCTATATGACCCCACTGTTGGCCACAGCAGCCCCAAAGCTCACTTATGACACACCAAGGGAGCCCAACGTGGCCACTGCCAAGCAAGGCAGTTGTGAGTTTGGCCCCGTTTTACGACCGTTTTTGCCACAGCTGTTAAGGCAGGGGTCTTCCAACTTGGCCCTTTTAAGACTTGTGGACTTCAACTCCCAGAATTCCTCAGCCAGGATGCTTTAGGGCAGGGGTCTTCCAACTAGGCCCTTTTAAGACTTGTGGACTTCAACTCCCAGAATTCCTCAGCCAGGATGCTTTAGGGCAGGGGTCTTCCAACTAGGCCCTTTGATGACTTGTGGACTTCAACTCCCAGAATTCCTCAGCCAGCAACGCTGGCTGAGGAATTCTGGGAGTTGAAGTCCACAAGTCAAAAAGGGCCACGTTTGAAGAGCCCCGTGTTAAGGGAATCCCCGCACTTGGTTCAGTTAGTGACCCGGTTGTTAAGTGGCTTCCCCATTGACTTTGCTCGTCAGAAAGTCGCGTCAGGGGATCCTGTGAACCCAGAACACTGCAACCGCCATAAACCATCGCTGCAAGCGTCTCAATTCGGATCACGCAACCAAACGGTCGTAAGGTAGAAACGGTCACGAGTGGCTTTTCTCCCATTCCATTGTAACTTCGAACGAATGAATGGCTGTAAAGTCGAGGACTTAGCTGTTATTAAGTGAGAATCGGGAGTCTTTACCCAAGGCCCGGTCAGCTAGCAAGCCAGGCAGGCAAGGGGTGTGTGTGTGTGTGTGTGTGTGTGGCAGGGCCAGGCATGGCTACTGTCCCGCGTGGGAGTGCAAAATTGAGTTGTGAGCAAGTGGCAAACTGCGAATTACGTGACCTCTTGACGCTGTGAACGTTGCTAACAGGAGGAGACAGCTGGGAGGGACCTTGGAGGTCTTCTAGTCCAACTCCCCCTGCTGAAGCAGGAGACTCTAGACAGAGATGCCCAAACTTGAGAGCTCTTAAGAATTTGTGGACTCCCAGAATTCCCCAACCACACACCCCACACTCCCAAGCACAGCTGGTAAGACTGGGCCAATCACCAGAAGACGGGGAGTTCTAGTCCCGCCTTAGGCCTGAAAGCCAGCTGGGTGACTTTGGACCAATCACCAGGAGACGGGGAGTTCTAGTCCCGCCCTAGGCAGGAAAGCCGACTGGGTGACTTTGGACCAATCACCAGGAGACGGGCAGTTCTAGTCCCGCCTTAGGCAGGAAAGCCGGCTGGGTGACTTTGGGCCAATCACCAGGAGACAGGGAGTTCTAGTCCCGCCTTAGGCCTGAAAGCCAGCTGGGTGACTTTGGACCAATCACCAGGAGACGGGGAGTTCTAGTCCCGCCCTAGGCAGGAAAGCCGACTGGGTGACTTTGGGCCAATCACCAGGAGACGGGCAGTTCTAGTCCCGCCTTAAGCAGGAAAGCCGGCTGGGTGACTTTGGGCCAATCACCAGGAGACGGTGAGTTCTAGTCCCGCCTGAGGCATGAAAGCTGGTTGGGTGACTTTGTCCTAATCCGTCTGTGTGCGCCAACCCACCTCACAGGGTTGTTGTTGTGTGGAAAGTGGAAGAGGAAGGAGGACTCACTTTGACTTATTCATAAAACTCATACAAGAAATAAAACAAAAAACCCACCGTAGGAACACAAGTCCTGCCGAAGCCGGAACCTGGACAGCAGAAAGGGGCGTCCCATTCCAATAGGCAGGGACTGGAGGGCTTCTGGGCCAAAGGGACCCCCATCCGCACAGTTGCACCCGCCAAAAAAGGCCAGCCTCTCACAAAAAGACCCCACCGCCCAGTTTATAGGCCCCCTCCCCATCGAGGACTTTAGCAGGCCTTCTGCTGGCTGAAGAAGACCAGGGGGAGGGTCTGCCCTTGGCCAAGACCCCCGGGGCTCAGCTCACTCTCCACCTCACAAGGGCCAGGCAGAAAAACAGGCCGTGGTTCAACCCAATCCTCTTTCCCAGGCTCACAATCCTTTGCTGGTGGCAGAACACACCCTTTCCCTGCAACACACAATGCACGTTTGCGTTGACTGCCCAACCAACACAGTTGTTATAAAGGGCCCAGAATGGCCCCCTGCTAAGCAAAGGGGGGCTGTCAAGTGAGGCCTGCTGGGTTCTACAATCTTTTGGCCACGATCGTTGATCAAATCGCTGCGGTTGTTAAAGCAAATTCAGCTTTCCCCATTGACTTTGCTGGCTGGGAAGGTGATCCCAGCGCACTGTAACCATGCTAAATACACCCTACTTGCCAAATGGCCCAAATTTTGATCGCAGGATTGTGGGAACGCGGGGAACGTTCTGAATGTTGGAGACCGGTCAAAAGTCACTTTTCCCAGTTTGGTTGTTAACTTCAGTCACTAAGTGAAAGACAGAAGGGTCAAGGACCAGCTGTATTTATGTACTGATCCTATTCCTCCCACTGGGTGCCTTGATAATGAACAATTTCCAAAGCCCACCCCTCAAATATCCCCACACTCAGGGTCCCCACCCAGCAAGAGAGGGGCTGAGAGTCCAACCCACCTTTGAAGGACCCCTCCCATTTCTGTGCCTTCCTCCGGAAAGACTCAACCCAAGGGAGGGCTGCAGCCCCTAGTAGTCTCAGCCCTGCCCTCGGTAAAAAGGGAATTGGAGACTTCAAAAAGGATTACAATTTGAGAGGGGTGGAGAAATAGTAGTCCTCAACTTACAACCATTCCTTTAGTGACCGTTTAAAGTTACGACAGCACTGGAAAATGTGAGTTAGGACCGTTTTTCACACTTACAACCGTTGCACTTTCCACAGGGATACGTGATCAAAATTCACACACTTGGCAACCGACTCACACTTGACGGTTGCGGTGTCCCAGGGTCACGTGATCAAAATTGGGACGCTTGGCAACCTTGGCTCATATTTATGACTGTCGCAGCGTCCTGGGGAGGGTTACGCGATCCCCTTTTGCGACCTCCTGACAAACAAGATCCGC